ACCAATCACAGCTTCGCAGGCAGGATTAAGAATAGGAACGTGATCTTCCAACAAAGCTTGGAAGCCAAAGTACGCAGCTACGTTCATTCTTTGATTAGCCAACTGTTAAATGCCGCTGGCGACAGCTCCAGTATGAGGGACAGATGTGTCGCTCTCTACAGACAAAAGTTAGAGCAAAACAAAACAAAAATCATCTTCACTGCCAAACAGAAACTGTCTCAAATGCACAGAATGACTCATTGACAAAAGTCTGGTATTAATGTGAGTGCACTCATCTCGAGTGAGAGCTGAACTTCTTCACTTTGAGATTTGTCCGTCTCTTTCACTTCACTGAAGAAGATAAATATGGCGGCTTGTGCAGCAGCCTTTCACTTAGCGGACAATCTGTCTTTACAACAAACTCTAAAGCCTCGGCTCTGTTTGCACTGAAACTGTTAAGTGGAAGATTTCCACATTTCCGGCTTGAATCTGATGCTGTGGTGCAGAATGATAAAAACAGTGTTACAGATGTTATCGGCTGCCTCTGTTCTCCCTGATTGTTAATGATGATTATAGCTGTTTCTTGAATGATGAGACACACAGGTATCATCACGATCTAATAATATTAACAATGATGATAGTAAAATAATGATAATAATAATAATACTGGTGGGTATAATCATGATTGTGGCAATGACTTCTTGATGTCAAAAAGCTACACATACTCTCTACATTATAACAATAACTCAGTGTGGACTCTCTTCTGTGTCCATGACAACACCAAGCCAAGCAAGTCGAGTCTCGCTGTGGCACGGTGGCTCTTTTTAATTCTCACTCTCTGATCACATCTTTTCTCTGCTGCTTTTTGTTTTTCTGTATCACTTCTTAATCTCTTTTCTCACTTTGACCTCCTCTGCTTTTTATCTGTGTGTGCGTGTGTGTGTGTGTGCGTGTGCGTGTGCGAGACCTGTAATTATTGATGAAGCTCAATCTGTGAACCTTCCCTCTCCTCAGCCTCAGCCAGTCATTTGTGATCTCTGATGCTGGACATTATAAGCCTGTCGCCATAGCAACGGCAACATAAAATAGCCGTAACAGTGTTGCTGGATTTGTGTTTTGTGGGATTTTGTGGAGTATGTGGGTGTTGTGGAGGCGTAGATGCTGTCAATCCCATCTCAACTTGACTTCTTCTGTGTGTGTGTGTGTGTGTGTTTTCTCAGAGGCTGGATGTAAAGAAGTGGTAGCTCTGTCTGCAGGATAAAGGAGCTTTCATTAAAAGAAAAATTCAGTCATGTAGAAATCTGCACTCTCGCACTCTTTTAAACTTAGTCAGTTCATTCATCACCCCCCCCAACCCGACCCCGCTTCAGATTGTGTTTTCAGTCAAAGTGATGAGTTGTGTGCTCGTCCCTGCACCGGCAAACATTTGGGGAGCGAGCCAGAGAGACGAGCGTGACAGTTGTTTGGTGACAGACATCAGTTGGTTCCCACCTTCCCTCTGTGGTTCAAGCCCTTAAAAAGGGAAACAGCCAGTTCAATTAGATTGTGTGGCCAGCGTCCAGTGGTCCTTAGTAGCAGGCCAAATTGTGGTGTGTTAAGAGAAAGAACATCAGTCCAGCAGCATGGTGACAGTTTTATTACGACGGGTAATAGCTTGGCTAAATGCTCGGAGCTGGTTTTTCTGTGGAAGCTGGGTGGGAACAGAGGATCGGCTGCACCTCAAAGCTCACAGTGGGTGCTGCGCGTCTGACAGATCTCGCACTTTAATCTGTAAAGTATTTCTACTGCTGGAAATGGTGTGCAGACGCACTAATAATGACATCAGTTTGCCTGTCCAAATGTCATGAAATCAAACCGTCTCGATGCGGCGAGCGATTTCTGTGTCACGTCACTTTCTATCGATTCTGTGGAGTCACAGTTGATTTCCAAACAACTGCACACAAAAAACAACAAGACAAAAGTTTATGTGTGCGTAATAAACAAACATGACAAAAAACCCAAACTGTGGTGAAACAAACAGACCACAAGGACGTCAAAGCTCAAATTCTCACATCAGTTTTCATTGTAGTTTGACTTCAGATCAGCTTCACAGAGTCGTAACTATAACGACACTAACTAAATGGACCTTCATTAAAGAAGAGTGCATGCAAAACATTTAGCTTGACAGCAGCCCATCGCCATGGAGCTACATTCCCATCAGCCATTCAGGCACTTGTATAGTACAACTAACAATTATTCATTATTAATCATTCAGTCAATTATTCCTAAAACTGGCCTATAGGGGTTAAACTGTCTCTCCCTTCCAGACTTTCTAATAAAGTCGTGAAAATATGAACAAAAAAAAAAAAACGATTAAATTAAGTCTGCTATAATATAAAACTGAGAGCTAATACTAAGCTGGAACTAGCGATCATTCGGTGTGATAACTGATTATTCTCAGTGTTTTTGTCCATTCATGCTCCCCTCAGTCAGTACTAGCAGGGGACTGGTGCTACTGTGGCACCATTCCCCTGCCTTTTTTTTTTTTTTTGCTTGTTACCTTTTAATACTGATATCTCCTTGCAATCCCTTGTGGGCGAGTTATGAGCAGTTGAACTGAAGATTGATTTCCTCTTCTCAGATCGTTTTAAAGAGGCCTGAAGAAGTAACAATAATGTTTGGCACTAATCTCATCCACTAGCTTCATCTTGAGTGTGTGAACTCCAGAGGCAACCAAAGGGATGAAGGTCAACATCACTAACATCACAAGACTGTAACAGAGATAACAGATCAGCAGATTTTCTCCATCATGAAGGAAAGAATTTAAGGATACAGAGATGACAAAGACTTGATTGTGACTGTTTTCTCCCAGGAGGGTCTGAGCTCTCTGATCTTAATGAGCTTAAAGTCTCATAATGTTTTCCTGGTAAAATCCTCAAAATACTCCCTAAAGATCCACAATGTCTAAACCCCCCGTCCGACCGGGACACGCTGGCACATTTTCTTACCCCTATCATTCTACGTAAGTGTGCCAAACGCAGAGGTGCTACTGTTAGAGCAGACCGGGTGGCACTGACGACGCTTTCTTTTTTTTTTCTTCACCTCCAGCACCCACAGCTTGTCATGTCACAGGAAATCAACACAAACAGATGTGACACTGCACCCTGGCGTATTGTTGTGTGGTGGAGCTAAGCCATATCCACATTTGGAATAATGAGATGAAATATAGCATGTAAATAATGTTGCCATTTCCTCCACAGGCCAACGGGCTGATTTTTTTTTCTTTAGATGGAAGCGTTTGTTTTGACCTTCCAAAGCTCCGTCGCCGCCGAAGGAAGTGGACAGATGGCGGGGGAGCGCTTCACCGTTAGCTTCCTGCGCAGATGGGAGACTGTGTGTTTTTTATGTTTTGTGTGTATGTGGGGAGTGTGTTGACAGATTGGTGATTTCTGAGATGGTGGCACAAAAAACTTTTGACCTCTCCCATGTGTGTACGTGTGTTTACATGGCAGACGATGCTTCAGAGGTACTGACTTACTGATATTTATCTATCTCTCACTCTGGATTAGAAAAAAGACAACATCTCCTTCTCCTGGAGGCAAATTCATTCACTCCTGTTTCTCCATTTCCTGTTTTCGGCTCGTTGCTCACTGACAGAGACACGGGCAGCCTAATAAAGAAATAAATGGCAATAAATCTATTCAGAGGACGGTGCTGACCTTTGTGGCTGAGTCTCAGCGGTGTCTGTGGCACCAGGCAGTTGGCATGATGACTGCTATGTGACATTACACAACACAAAGAGGCGAAATACAGAACTGCAGAGTGGTTCCACAAAAAAGCAAAACTCAATCCCGTGAGTTTGTGGGTTTAAAGTTCAGGTGTCATCACTTAAGAGGATGCCAGGATAAATCGAGGACAGGTTAACTCAAAAGAGAAGCGTCATTTAACAACATTTAACAACACTGTTCCAGAGGCTGATCCTATCTGCTCGGCTGATGAAGAGAAGCTGTTGCTGTTTCTAGATTTAATTAAAATCTCCGACGTTTTTAATCTTCGATGTCGGTGCTCCGGCTGAGTCATTGCTGGCAGATGCACTGCCGCCGCAATTCAAAAAGGAGCAAATCTCAGATTGCTGGCAGATCACAGCAGGTTTACGCACAACTTATGTTCTGTCACTTGAGCCGCGCACACATTTAGGAAAGACAGTGACAGTGCATCTTTTCCTCTCTTACTTACAGTGTCAAAGACGTTGCCATTAGAAGTAAACTGTCTGAAGGTTTCAGCCTTTCTGAGGAAGCGAATGTAGACGTTTAAACACACTCCACACACTTCACCTCCCTCCCAACACACCGCACACGTACTCAGAGAGCAGAAAACAGTCGGCTTCCTGTTGAGTCTGCAAATAACGACCCTGTGTGTGACTCACGAGAGTGCAGTGCATAATTATGATTCTCTTAGGGACACATGTTCTGAAAAACACAGGGCAGAAAGCACTTCAGAGCCATTTGCAGTCCATCAGTATTTTGTTGAAAACTGCTACTTTTGACATGCGTTAATCTGGGGGCTTTTATTTGTGGCTGGAAAAAGAAGGTAAAATTCATTTATATAAAACTGTCATGATAAAAAAAATAATAACTGACTGGAAAAAGGATGCACTTCAATCAATGGATATTTGTTGACCACTAGGAGGTACAGCTCAGTGAGCAGAGTAGAGAGGTGTGTATTTAAATACGGTGAAATAAAGCTGTTTTTCTCTGAGTAAAGAAAAGAGGACCAGGAAGGACACTCAAGATGGGCTGCGCATCCGTCAGCCATTGTTGAGCACTGCAGAGCTGTATAATAGGTTTCTGTGGTCTTTGGATTGGACCACACATACAGACACACTTGGCTATAATGGTAAAAGATGACATAGATGAATAGGCAGGCAAATATGCAGCTAGAGAGACAAATATGGAGTAGATGCGGAGAGATTAAAGCGCTCCTGCTGAGCCAGCCATCTCCCACACACCATCCCTACCTGCAGCCACTTGAGATGCTCTTACCTGTTCCTCCTCTCTGAACCACCAGGCTGGTCTCAGCTCCAACAGCGCACTCCTTGAGCAGCTCCACCACCTGGGTGTGTGAGAATCCCTGAACCGGCTGCTTGTTAATCTCCACGATCAGATCTCCCTCACACAGGCCCGGGCAGCCCTGAGGCTCCAGAACCTGTTTAACGCGCTGGCCCGTGGCGCTGTCCGCTATAGTGAAGCCAAAACCGTCCATTCCCTTCACCATGGTCAGTGTCAGCAGCTCCCCTTGGGTCGCCCCTGACGACGCCATGGAAACGCTGTCAGGAGGCGTGGTGCCGGTGGTGGGAGGAAGGGAGCCATCTAAGTGGGTGTCGCCCGGGTGAGGCGGGAGCAGCTGCTGCTGCGCACCGACCTGGTCCTGACCGGGGTCCGTGACGAAGCGCGCCGTGCGGGAGAGATAGTCCAGGTAGTTGTCGTAGCCCGTCCTGCCGTTCACCATGATGGGTCGCTGCTCCATGATGCCCAGCGGGGAGATGATGGTGGTGGTGGTGTTGTTGTTGGTGTTGGCAGCTTCCTCCGGGTCGTAGGGCAAAGGGTAGCCGCGGCACAGGACGAGCGTCACGCTTTGGCCGATGGGCACCGACTGAAAGAGCTTAACCACATCGGCGTGGGTGGTGCCCAGGACGCACACGTCGTTGATGTAGACAATGACATCACCTGCAGGTTGTGGACAGGGAGAAACATGACAGTCAGGTGTGACAACTCAACTCTATGTTGTGTGATGTGATCTGAATCACCTGCAGACACACACAGGTGTTTTTAATTACTCTCGCTGATTAAAGTCAGGTTGAAGTAGGGTGGAGCTTTGCTGGTAAATTTGTGATGTCATCAAACGATGGCCCCACCAAGCCCAGTTTGTACACACCCACACACAGTCCTGAGATTTTATTAGGCAAATAATGCTTTCATATCTCTGATTTAAGCAGCCAAGTGACCAACTTCCACAATATGCTCCTCTGGTAAAGCATCATGGGAGCTGTAGTTTTTTTTAATGCTGACAAATTGACCACAAGGAGTTCAAATTCAGGACGCCAAACACAAGGAACATGTTTGACCCTTGCAGCAATGAAACGAAGCTTCACTGGGTTACAGCTAGAGTTAAACCGGTGGATGGTGAGTTGATATCAAGGGCAGTATTACAGAAGATCTTATCTCTTATCTCTGTCCCAGATCCCAGATATCTATGGATCTGGATTCAATCTTATTTCATCCTATCTTATCTCAGGTTAGGAAATCCTAAATACTTAATCCAACATTGATTATCAACTTTTATTTTTGTTACCTAGCAACCAGTGCTACTTTCCTCATCTCATCTAGTTGAGGTATTTTTATAACCCATTATATTTTTCTCATTGAAACGCCCCTCAGTGAATAAGCTCCTCCGTATTTCCCTGGTTGTGTAGAAGCAACTAAAGAGCAGCCGTATGGATTAAACCAGGTAGCTAAGTGGTGGAAAAGTGAAAGTTAAGACAGCTTAACGGTTATCCTAAAGTGAGGAGAGTTTAATTAAGATTTTGGGAAGTTAGGTAACTCGTGTAACACACTTTTCCCATCTTAATTACCATAATTACCAAACAGTTAAGACAAGATCGGCAGTTTAGGAAGTAAGTCTGAAATACGGCCCCAGGACTGCAGGTCTCTAGGGCTGTTCCAGTCCTCGATCAGCTGAACAGTACATCAGCACGGACTCTCCTTTGCTTCCCCTTACAGCCATAAACCATATCTACAGATACACATTACCACAGATTATGTCTTATCTGCCTTTCAAGTGTAAAATAGTGCAGCTGACAAGTGGCTAAAATGTTTGCCTTTCATGGCACAGAGTGCTTTTATTTGCTTACTGCAATATACTGCACTGTAGATAAAACCTAGCTGACAATTAAATACTCCCACACAAAGGAGCTCCACATCCAGCCTTATCTTTGCCTCAACCAGATTACTAAATATAGTGTTTTGTGCTCCACTGTGCAGGCACCATGCAGGTTTTAAAACACTGCGCAAGTGGGAACACACGGCACGAACCATAATAAGGTCTGACAAACAGCCTTACCTGGGTTGATAATGAAAACACTTATTTTCTAATTGCAGGCATAATTGTCAGGCCATTTAGAGAGAGGGCAGGGAGAGTGTGCGAGTGTGTGTTGTGAGGACAGAGAGTGAAAAACAAAGATCCTTCATGATTAATAAGCAAAGCGTGTACTTTAGTGATTGGCCCTCACCTTGCTAACCACAAGCTCCATCCTTTCCAATTTTCCTAAAACGTGAGCCGGAGACTATAATAGCACTAATGGCCGGGTCAGTGACACGTTTTCTATAACAACATGTCAATTCATATTGATTTCCTGCAGTGACTGCTGAACTGGAGCCAAGCGTCTGACCCCTCTGAGTGACAGCAGCCAAGGTAAATGGAAGTTAAAGGTCCTATATTTTACATTTTCCGGTGTTTTATTTTGAAGTGTTGACATCCATGAGAAGATGTATTTGTGGTTTTAAGAACCAAAGAGCATCTCAGTGTAGTTTTTCATCTCCTCTATCGGGCTTCTCTCTGGAGCTCAAGCAACAACAGGCTCTGAGCCTCTCTTCTGATTGGCTCACTGTTTTCTGAATGATCAAATAAAAATGTAGCAGATTTCAGGTAAAACACTCAGAGAAACTAAATCCTGCAAAGTTGGAGGGTGGGTCCGGGTGGGCGGGGCTTCGGGCATGGCTGAGGGCGCTGACTGCTTTGTTGTGACATCACAAAGTTAAAGAAGTCCTGACGGCTTGTTTTAAGGTTCAGTTTCTGAATACAGGCTGTGTGCATTTCTCTGTGGACTGAGCACTTTGATACTTTCACAGTATTAATATAGAACCAAGACCTGCTTTATAATCAAGCACGAGATGGAAATATCACTTTACAGAAGACGGGACCTTTAAGATATCACAGAAATAGTCTCTCTCTCTCATTGTAAACTGTGTTGCGGACAAGCGCTCCAAGTTTTAACGCTCTGGCAGTACCGGCGGAGCGAGCTCACATCTCGAGGCAGCTTGACGTGAGGGAATTTTTAATTAATCCGGGTAAACTCGGCCGACATTTGCCTTGAGCGCTGGTGTCAGAATCAATAGTTGAGCACACTGGCAGAAAACAAATGATGGTATCCTGACCTCGTGGTGCCCTTGCCATGCCCATATCTCTCATTCTTTATGACCAGGGAGGAAATGGAGAGAGAGAGAGAGAGAGAGAGAGAGAGAGAGAGAGAGAGAGAGACGGAGGGCATCAGTTTGTTTTACAGATTTTGAGATATAGTATCAGTTCCTGACGCTTGCAGACAGCTCAGCATCAGAATACAGTGGAGATGAAAGGACTTCTGTTTGCTGTGGTCAGAGCATTTACAAAATTACGTCTGAAAGACTCAAGAGCAACATCTGTTTCAAGACAGATCGCTCCTGTTATTGTGGATTAGCTCTTTGGCTTGTGATCCAAATTTCACTCACGACTCCTTATCAGTAGTTACGCATTTCTATGAACTGTGAGCACCTTGAGCAAAGAGGAATTTTTACCCGCTCATGTTGTATATACATTCAGTATCGAGTTCTGCCTCTCCTGTATTTCTAAAGCAACAAAGCAAAAACAGAAACCTGTAGCAACAAACAGCCGAATCTTTTCTCTGTCCATGGTTTCAAAAAATTACAACAGATTTCAAGCAGACAGGGATTTTAACATTCTCATGTTTAATTTCAGTCATTTTTCGGAAGAGTATTTTACAAGAAAAAAATGTTCGTCTTTGCTATCCTGTTAACATCTTGCAACTCTCAGATTCACGCTGTGACCCCTCGAGGGTTCTCAACGCCCAGGTACTGCTTGGGATAATCTACAGAGCTGTCTGTCAACAGGTATTAGCATTTCTTCAGGAGAAAGTAGTTTCTATGAAAGCTCTCAGTGAGGTCTGAGGATTATAAAGAGTAACTAGAGCCACTGTTTCTCTGACATTCTGCTGTTAATTCGCAGTAAGTGCTGTGAGCACCACAAATCACATCCAAGTGACAGAGATTTCAAAACTAGACAAGGCTGGGTACTATAGGGCTTTTGTAATTTGGCTAAAAGGACCCTTAGTAAACACATATGGTCACAAACAGAAGCGTGGATGAAAGGGAAGATAAATGGACACATCAACAGAGAGAGAGGGCCGAGACAAAGAGACACTCATGGCCACCAAAGAGCCGTCTCTCCAACCATTATACAACCTCCTGCAGGTCCCTTGTATACTGTAAATCACACTGACCTTAACTGTAAACACCACACCTCGCTGGGACCAAGGCCCACGCTCGCAGCGGCCACTTCATCTTTCAGTGTCCCGCCCTTGCATATTCCTTATGACATATTCATCTCCGGCTAATGGTGCGTTCAAGAGTCTGCGGACGTAATGAGAGGTCTCGGTGGCCCCGCCGAGAAGACGAGGCCGCAGCAACAGAGCAGTTTAGATTCTCAGCAGGGTGTGCGCATTTTATTAAGTAATGATCTTTAGCATGTGCTGCTAACTAGCTTGTGACAGACAGTAATAACCTTGTGTTTCTTCTGAGGCTGAGGAGCATATTGTTAACTAGCTGCATGAATTTGTGGTGTTGAAGGTTATATTAACAATAAAGTCCTGATTAGCACATTCAGAGTATAATATCACACTCTTCTGCACCTCTGTCTGAAATCAAGGACCAACTGTTTCCAAAAGAACTAAGAATTATTATTGAAAAATTCTAATGTAATCACTCTATATTGAAATTTGGCTTTTTAAGATTTACCCTGAGCTAAGCTAAACCTTCAATTTACACATTAGTTCATTTCAGTTGTGTGTTTTTATAGGTGCTCTTGATGAAGAATGTATAATAAATTGAATAAATTGACACTGGATCAGTAAAAATGTCTTTTTTCAGTGTCTTATCTGAGATGAACACACATTGTAGTGTATGGACACAGTTGAGCAGAGTAACCCTCTGGTGCTCAATGAGTGTTGCAGCAGTTAAGACTCCCCAGTCTGAAGCATACTGTACTAACAAACCCACTTGATTTTTCATTAAACACTGCCTCTGGCATCCAAATTAAGCCTCTCCACTTCCGCTCTTTGCTCTGTATTCCACAAAAATATCATGGCTAATGAACCCAACACACACATTTCCTCTACAGACAAAAATAAATCCTACAAAAAATTTAATTCTATGAAAAACAGTACATTTCTACATAACTGCACTGCATGTGTTGGAGCTGTTATACATCAGAAACTTAATAATAATAATAAGTGTTTGAACATGTTCTCCCTGGTTGTGTAATCACGTCGTGGAGACAGCCAGGAGGGGTCACGCAGGAGAAAGCCACACAAATTATCTATGTGGAGTTGGGAATTTCACACCTCTGCAGGCCTGGGTTTCCTTAGTGTGGGCTCTGTGATCGTGCTCGCTCTGCCACTGCAGAAGTAGGACACAAAGTCTGGGGAGGCAGGGGGGGTGGGGGGTGGGGGTGGGTTTGTGGGTTGGTGGCTTGGTGGGAGGATGGCGAGGCAGAGACGGAGATGAGCTGATGGGAGATAGTGGCGGCGTGGAGACAGGAGGTGAGGAAATAGAGAAGTGGGAGGGATTTCTTAATTATTTCTGGGGAGAGTGTACACGACAAAAGAGAGGGCGGGGGGGGGGGGGGGGGGGGGGGGGGGGGTGTTTCATATGCAGTATAGTCAGGAGAAGCTTTATTAGTCATCAACGGCTCTATTGTGGACTGCTGCATCCACACTTTTATAAACTGGAACTACTGCCTTGTGGTTGTATGTTTCCACCAAGCAGTCATGTTGCACTTTACATCCATGTCTCTCCAGACTCATAAGATATGTTGTGAAGACTTTGTGAGTTATGGCTACAAATGGGCTTTGTGCGGTCACAGTGATCTCGACCTTTGACCTTTGCCCGTTAAATTCTAATCTGTTCATCCTTGAGTTCGAGTCGATGTTTGTGGCGCGTGTAATGAAATTCCCTCCAGATGTATCGCATCCACAAGAACGGGGCTGACATGAGATCACAGTAACCTTGACCCCTTGACCTCGCTACAATCGACTCCTGGAGTCCAAGTGAATGTTTGTGCAAAATAAGAAAGAAATTCTCTCCAAGTGTCAATGAGATACGGATGGACGGACAACCTGCAAACATAATGCCTGAGGCCACAGCTGTCAGCGCCGCCAAGGCATAAAAAAAAAAAAAAGAAGACATTTGACCCAATGTTCTGAGAGAAGTTAACACAACCACAAGGTAACATAACCAGTCAAGTGTATTTTGAAGAAGAGTACTCGCTTTACTAAAGAGGAACGTCCCTCAGCAGCGCACTTCCTGTGATAAATGAGCACTACAACCTCAGTGTTTGCTCCGGCGTTTACAGATAGAAACATCATTGCATGCAGAGAGCAGTGACAAAACCTGCTACTTCTTTTCCCTTGACCTTTACTACAGCTGGTCTGTCTCAGAGTTACTGTGTATATGTGTGTGTGTGTGTGTGTGTGTGTGTGTGTGTGCGTGTGTGTGTATGTGTATCAGTGCATATATGCTGCAGTCCCACCCCCATGTGGCCACAACCAGGAGTTATTGTGCTCAAAGTCCCTTTCATGATTAATGGAAGAACAAAACTCTGCAGTCGGTGCGCGCCCGTACACACACGTTTATGGAGGAATAGTGCAAGCTTGGCAAGCTGCACCTGCAAACACACACGCATACACCGAATTTGCATTATTGGTAAGTGTGCGTGAATGGGGAAACTGCACTTTTGGTCATTTCGTCTTAAAGAGGAAGTTAAATACATCTCTGAATAAACTGCATATGCATTTTTTTTTAGCTGTATACCGATAAATGGACCAAAGCCACATCTAACTGTTTGCTGACATTCACAGCGATACATGACCTGCTGAAAATTATGTGTTTGTTATGTGTAAATACAAGTATCTGAACTGTACGACCTTAGTTTGTTGTCCTACACGTGACGCTTGCTCACTGACTCTGTGTGTTCTCATGAGGCTCATGTGTTAAGTATTTTACCCTGTCAGGTATATAAAGATCTTTCCTGGTTAAATAAAGGTCCCCGGTTGCATTTGACACTCAGTCTGACGCTTACCTGTGGCCATCTTTCCGTCAGCTGCAGCAGGCCCATCGGGGATGACGCTCTTGACCTGGAGGAATTCGTCGGGCTCGTCGCCTCCGATAATAGTGAAGCCGAAGCCCATGTTGCTCTTTTGGAGTGACGTGGACAAGAAACTGCCTTTCAGCTGAGTGGGGTCCCGCGTGAACAGCGGCTTCTCTATAAAGGACACATAGATGCGCAAATTAACCAGGTGGAAACATCAATACTTAATAGGCTTTATAGCAAAGACTGAAAGGACCTGGTGCGGGGCAGTGCTCACAGGGTGGGGGCATGGGTAAAGCTTATCCAGTAAGATATGGGTGTAGCCACAGGAAAACTGGCAGGGTATGATCTTAACTGCAAAACAGCAAACTTGGACAGAGGTGAGGCTGGTGGTGCTGACAGATGCAGGTGTGGTTCAACAGTTTTGGCTCCAGTGCAAAGTAAAAAATAAGAAATCCCTCCTGGCACCCCCAAAAACACGGCGGTGGGCAGAAGGGGTGCAGAGAGCATCAGTGGTGCAGGTCTTCAGTCCCGCCCCGAGGCTACCAAAGAAGCAGCAAAATATGGCAAATGACATGCTGTCAATTGGGGATCAGGTCCAAGAGAGGATGCTTGGGAGGGTTAAAGGGAGAACTGGGAGATTTCTGGAGGAGGGAGAGCTGGGAGACGTCTGGAGGAGAAGCGCCTTGTGTAGGAATGAGAGGATCTCAGCCAACAAGCTTAGTCACACTTAACCAAGTCCCCCATCTTTTCACCTCGGAGAGGAGACGTGGCTAGTGTGCTAGTTAACATCCTTTGTTTGCCGTCACTGGTCCAGACACAGACTGAGTGATTACACTCTGTGCCTGCCTCTGCCAGCCGATAAGACATGTCATGGTACACGTTCGTCACACAAATCCCTCAACTGTCTTAAGGGAAAAGCTTGCTTACGAGCTAGCATGCTTACAGTAAGTCAAACGAGCGCAGGCAGCCATGAGAACGACAGTCAGCCTCCTCTGCTTCTCTCTTGGCCTACTTACTGACAAAGTGCCACAGGGAGAGGGGGCTACAGACAGGCTGCTCTAGCACCACAGCGCAGGCGGAGGTGTGAAGTGGCTGATGTTGCTGCTGCTGCTGCTGGTGCTGGTGCTGGTGGTGGGGGCACATATTCATCCGCCGAGTCAGAACGCGCCTCAGTGGGGAGACGTCGGCGGAGGAGGACGTAGTGTATGTGGCGGCCCTGCGACCCAGAGTTGGCGAGCGGGAGAGGTCGCCGAGGCTGTGGCAGCGCTCGGGCACTGGGCCGACCTGCGCGAGGGGGGATCTGGGGAGGGTGGCACAGGGGCTGACATCCTCCACTGGCATCAAAGTTTGGAGAGAAAAAAGGAGGAGGAGGAGGAGTAGGAGGGAGGAGGTGGGGAGAGGGAGGAGAGAGAGCCTCACTGGAATGTACACAGAGTGTAACCACGGAGACAGGCTCTCGTCTCAGAGCGGTGGACTACTACGTTACTACGGAAACAAACCTCCACTTCACCAGTCCAGACAGTCTTTTTCTAGCAGTACATCCTACTGCTATGGCTGCTGCAGAGTGAGCACTGGAATCAGGCAGCAACAAACCAGTCATTAAACAAAACAGTGAATCACATTCAAGCCCACATGTTCACTTGGGAAGTGCAGCAGTTATATGACCGACAAGTGTTATTATCAGTCCCAACAAAACACAGGCGAGTGAACTGACTGCTGCATCCTACGTTCAATCGCCGTAACAGTCCTGTTCCCTGCGTGAGTCCTGTTTTGTTTGGTGTTGAACAGATCAACAATACACCAAAATATTTCAGTTGACACATGATCAAAAATTGGAATGGTTATTGAATTTTTCATGTGTTTCATAAGTTTGTTTTTATTTTCTCACAAGCCTGGAAAACAAAGCAAGATGGCTGATTTAATTTTCCAAAGTATCAAGAAGGTTTTCAAATCGTCTTTAATTTAGTTGAAAATATTCAAGCAGCTTTCCGGATCCTGCTCGTCTGTGGTGTCTTGTAAGCCCACAGTCATATGCACGACACTGTACTTAAACCTTCATTGATTCGTATGAAGAATTCACTCCAGCTATTGAAATTAATTTGTGTTAATTTGTGTTACTCATTAGACACTTTCAGAGCTGTAATTAATGCATTTTGTGAGTGGATACTCTGAGGTAAACCCCAATTCTAAATGAATAATCCACCAAAAATATATGTTTATTTACTTTTAAACAGCTCTGGTTATAATCAAACAAACAAAAAAAGCGTGACAAATCTATATATATCAAATTGAATATACTATCTGAAGCTAATGAGAGACTTAAGAAGGCAAATAAAAGTAGTTCAGAGACACTATTTCTGACAGGGAACTGGAAGAGTTAACAACATAATACTCATTATTCATATACAACCGACTGAGCTATAGTGATTATTGTCTACAAAGATACAGATAGATTATGAGCATGAGTACAAATCGCGAGAAATCACCTGGGTTTGTTGTTCAAAAGCCCAGACACCAGTGAGGTGGTCTTACCTCTGTAGATGGTGGGAAGGGGCAGTGAGGACAGACCCTGGCTTTGCATCTGCTGCTGCTGCTGGAGTCTCCTCTTAGCCTCCAGGACTGGGTTCTCAAACTGGGTCCTTCTATTTATATGACTACGATGATGAAGAAAAACAAAACAAAACAAAACAAAAAAAACAAACAGGAGATTTTCAGATTTCACGATGTCCTGCTGTAACTTCACTTAGCCCTCCCTCTCGGCAGAGATCAGATCTAAAAAATCACTTGCAGCAGCTATTGCTGTGATGATTAATTAAATGGCCGGTCCCCACATTATGTAACAGAGCTGCAGAATGACTTCGCTGAGTATAAAAGAACAAACGACTGATTCTGAGCTTTTCTTCCATCTCATAACCAGAATTATGTGAATCAATGACTGGGAGGAAACCTGCACATGAAACAGTGATTTCCTTTAACGTCCCACGTCGTTCTTAATTTAGTTTGCAAGAGGGAAGATAGTCAACGACTACAAATACTGTAATTTGCCAGTGTGAAATAATTAGTCATCATTAGATACTTCCCCTCACTCTTAGAGACTGCATTGTGCACTCTCTCACACACACACACACACACACACACACACACACACACACACACCCACACACACACACACACACACACACACACACACACACACACACCATCTTTCTCTCCTCTCCTTATCTTTTAATGAACACCCCAGTATGACACTGATAATTACAAAACAGCTCCAGTATATTTTTTACATAGTTACATAATTTCAAGGTCTGACAACTTCTTTCATGTTATTTACATGACGGCGAATCGGCACAATAAGAGAGAGAGAGAGAGAGAGAGAGGGGGGACTGCAGTATGTAAGGCGGTGTGTTAGTCAAGTGTCATTCTGGAAGGTTTTCTTAAGCAAAGTCAAGCCAAATGACCCCCCCCCCCACTGTCTAAAAATAGAGCCTCGTCCCTCTGCCCCAGAGTGGAGAGCATCCAGCCAAAGAAATGACACCTCTGAACATGAGGGGAGATGCAGTTCAATAGAGAGGACAGGCTCCTGCAGCAGTGGCAGTGTAGATACACGGTCGTGGATGTGGATGAAGAGGCATGCAGAATGTTTAAAAAGAGATTTCAGCTCATGAGCTAATCTACAGATATAGATGCGCTATGAGTGCTTGAGACGCAGTGATAACACAGAAATATGGATAAGCACACACAGACAAATACCCCCCCCCCCTGCAAACAAACAGAGAGCCGTCAGCAGGCAGACAAAGGGAGCAACCGCTTCCTGGCTGCAGCGCCAGACTGCTCCTAATAAATATGATTAATACAGCACCAGCGGGCTACATTGGAAATCAAAAGCAAGCCATTACATATTAAAGATGTACCCAACTTACTCGACATAGTAGCTGCCGTAAATGGGGTCATCGATTTTCTCCCAGCCGTACGGAAGCTCTGTAATAAAAAAACGAAAAACAAAACAGCAGTGAGACAACAATAATGAAAGGCTTATTTATTCTGTGATCTTGCAGCAGCGTATTGATCTTGCATGAGAACACCTTTGTGACAGAATTAGTTACTTTACTGTCGGCGATTACCAGGATTTTGATGGTGCAGTAACATGTTAACTGGAGGGACTGCTGTTCTTTCTAAGCAGGCCGCATGTTCAGGCTTGTGAAATCTCATCTTTTATAAAAATTTGATAGCGACAAGACATGGGATAAAAAAAACACGACTGTGTGTTTTCTCAGCAGCTTGTCACATTGATTGATTTAAAGAGGCTACTGGCTCTTTAATGCCGTGCATCAAATGCATCCCTCTCTAAGAAAAAAAGTTGCAAAATAACACCAAATATTGAGAGATCTAGTGGCTGAATTTTAATCGGTTAAATATTTATGCCCCGCATCTTCTCCATGCTGTAAATGTTGTGTTTTGATGTGGGAACTTTGCATAGATTAACAGCTCGAGCTAGAACAAGCACAAACTCTCAGGGTGTCGAACGCTCACATTATCAATTGGCAGATATTTCTGTTGGTGTGTAACAGCTTAACTCCGAACGTTACAAGCCAAAGACTGAGTGCAATTACTGTCAAATAACACATGACAGTCAGTTACCGACAAATGACAGACAGATCAAGCACCGCTACTGTCATGAGAAGAATTTGGATGACACATAACAAAGTATGAATGTCAGAGCTTGAACTGTGCTTTCAAATGGCTTTTTAAAGGGCAAAATTGTCAAGTGTGCACAATGACATGAAACAGAGAAGCAGTTTTCACTACTACCCTTAAAGGTCCCATATTTGACACTTTTTATTTGAAGTGTTGATCAATCAGAAGATATATTTGTTGTCTGAAGAACCAAAAACCATCTCCATGTCGTTTTACATCTCCTCTCTCAGGCTTCTCTCTGGAGCTCTAGTAACAACAGGTAGGTGAGCCAATCAGCAGAGAGGCTGAGAGCGGCAACTGCTTTGTTGTGACATCACAAAGTTACAGCAGTCCTGACGGCTTGTTTCAAAGCTCAGTTTCTGTGGACTGAGCACTTGGATACTTTCACAGTATTAATATAGAACTTAGACCTGTTTTATAATCAAAAAAAGACATTTAAATCTACCTTTATACAATATGGGACCTTTAAAGAAACTTGAGTAAAACATTAGTAAATAATAACTGGTGCTGTTATGACATGTATTATGCCACTAACCGGGACTCCTTCATGATATCTATTAAATATATCAAATACTTTCTCTTGAAAAACCTTTTCCTCATTTTTTTTCAAAGCAGTTATCAACATCAAACTTCCACACAGGTCTAAAGAACAGATGCGGAAAGTCCTCCAAACGTTGCCCTCTGTTCTTAGTCATGTGTTGTGAACTCTCCACACAAGGATCCTGGATGAATTCACCACAGGAATACTTCATAAACTCACATTACCATCTACTAAACCAAATTACTTCAAATTCGACAACAATTTTCATTTCTGTGAGGGAATTTTCTGTCATTAAGTCTTTTCTCTTTCATTTAGTCTGTATCCTCTTATTCAGGGAACTGATGCACACAGGTCATTTACTATTAGTATTATTAACAAACTGCCTGTGTCTCAGTTAGTCTCTCTTAGTGGAATAGAGGTAATTGTGATTTACAGTGTGCGCTAGGTAAGATTTATGGATGCAATAGTCTTCACACATGTATGAGCTTGTGCCATGTGAGGATTCAGGGTTTAAATACGCCCCTCCAGAGAACAGCTTCAGAGAGATTTGGCGCATTACTGGTCAAAATGTTGACTGTACTGCTCATCACGCTTCTTCTCCTCGATGCATCGAACATCAATGAAGTGCTTCTTGCTTAAGACATCTGAGTCTCCCGAAACTTATTCCAGCAGCTCACAAGATTTTTCCATCACAAATTGGCATTGACGGTAGAATCCCAGTAGAACTCCGACTGGTAAGAGCAAATTTAAAGTTTTTCCTTTGCTCTTGCTTTGCCGCGTCTTTGTTTGACAGGACCATGGAGAAGCTGTGTGCATTTTGTACAATTTGTCTGTGCACATTTTAATTAATCAAAATTGATAAATGATTAAATTATGATTAAATTGAGCAGAAAAAGAGAGAGAAGTTCAGCCAACTTGAGTCTGGCTTGACTCAGTGTAATATTATTATGCTGCCAAGTTAAGTTAAATGTCAGTGAGAGCGGTTGGTTGGTTAATTTGAGAGAAAAGTGGCGTGCGTTTATTAACCCCCACAGCACCATCGTAACAGGGGCTGTTTCCAGGGCAAATCTGGGATGGGCCCCGGCTAGATAGGACCCACAGTGAGGTTAAACCTGAGGTTGTTGAAAAATGTTCACTTTGGTGTAACCAAGAAAAGATAACGAGTCTGTGTTTGTCGATAAAGTTTGGTTCCGTTGTGCCTTTGATAGCCTCAGAAGCCGAGGTGCCCTTTGGTCGAGTTTATTCTGGAGACGCAAGAGATTTTATCTTAATCTCAAATTGCTACTCTTGATGTCGTAGTGAAACAGAATAGACGTCATGACGGAAAATTCCCTCACAATTTCTAACAGGAATATTCAAAAATGTATGAATGGATTCCCTTCTTGAGAGGGGCATGAATGTCTGCCACAACTTTCTTGGTAATCCATCAAACATTTGTTCAGACATTTCAGTCTGGACCAACCAACACTGACACACCTAGAGCCATTCTGCTTGCCTGGCTAAAAATGATCTGCAGACAGAGTTAAGAGGTTTAACTTAGCATTTTCAAAGTGGCCTCTAACCTCTTCAAAGTTCTGTATGAATGCAAAGACACAAATATCTCTGCTCTCTCAGCCTCTTTCTGTATGTGAATTGTACTGAAGAACATGCTGCTTTTTTCCCCCTTCAAACCCCTGACAGTCGCCAGTAACACTGGACTGGACTTTCAAAGTTTTCACATCTCTTAAAAACATGTCTACAAAGACTTCCCCCTTTTGCTTTTCAGGAAATGAACAATTAGCATTTAAAGCATATTCCCACATGTAGACTCTAGTGTTTTAGCATAATAGCATGATCATTCAAAACCAAGTTGGGTACATAGTGAGAGAGGCTCTTGTTAAAACAGCATGAATCTAGCTGAATCTAGCACAGAGCTTGGGGACAGTGTGTTCCAGTACAGCTCTGCTGAGAATCACACAAGCTTTGATTAGTGACAATGCGAAGTTAATCAGGATGAGAGCGGAGATAACAGCAGAGAAAATGCTTCCTAATCAGAAGAGGAAGCAACCAGAGGGAGCGCTACAGCGCCTCATGCTCCCTAAGACCCTGCGGCTGGTTGAGGGGCACGGCTGCAGCTCGAGAGAAACACATTTCAAGAGCCGTACACCACAGATACTGTTCTGTATGGTCATTGCATACATGTATTATTATTCCTTGGCCTAGTTTACAGACTCAACAGAGTGCTGTGCATACTCCCATCCCTCCCAGTCCTCCCACGCAGAGCAGAAATATCTAAACAATGCTGGTGCAATGCTCATGCACGTGCCATATGCTTCCCTCAACCCCTGCCCCCATCCCCTCAAAACAAATTATTAAATTTTCAGTAGGATGCACTATTTTTTGCCTGTACACTCACTAAAATGGTTACTTTCCACACACACACACACACACACACACACACAGTTGTGAGTGATATAACAGAGTGCTGCGAGCAGGTTGACAGCCCACGGGAATACCTCCTGTGAACACTGCAACATTCCTTAGCCCCATCTCCACTCATTAAATATGAAAGAGAGCTTTTCATGTTCTCACCTTTACACACATGCACATATAAACACACACACATTATGTTACTTACTTTACTTCACACACACACACACACACACACACCCTCTGTGTCATTTTGCATATGCACAAACACACACACACACATACAGGAGATCAAAGGGCTGTCGTGAATCTCAGCAGTCTTCTAATTAAAAGCTTTTCTACTACAATGTCCGCTGAAAGAACTGCAGGACGCCAGGAATGACTCCGCTCTCAGTAACAAGATAAATGAAACCCTACAAATCAAGCTGCACAACACACTTAAAGGATAATCGTGTGACTTAAGCCATCATCATCATCCTCATCTGTTATGAAACGAGAGCGGTCAGATGATCAGAGTTGGGAAGTTGGGAAGAAGCCAAGCAGATTATCTAAACATCTTTAGTTGGAGGAAAAGTGAGATCACCTGAGATAGTTGCCAGAGTACTGGTGTTTCTTTCCCCTGTTGGGCTTCATGTCACTCCGTTCCTAGATCATCATTTTGAGAAATATGCTTAGTCGCCTTTCTGGCAAGAGTTAGATGAGAGGACTGATACCACGCTCATATCAGTCTGTTAAGTATGGAGCTTAAGCCAAATGTGATAGCTCAACCCAGAGAAGGACTGGAGGCAGCGACCGGGGGTGCGCGGGGGAGCGAGGGGGTGTGCGGGTGGGGGTACAGGTCCTCTTCTAAAGCTAAGAAATGCCTTCAAGCATCTCTACTGCTGTTCATTCATGAACTTTATAGACTCTGCTCAGCTTATTGTGTTTTAAACTTTGGATGGAGCCAGACTAGCCTCTTCTCCCTGCGTCCAATCTTTCTGTTAAGCTAAGCTAATCGGCTCCTGGCTCTAGCTACATGCTTAAAACCTACAAAAGCTACAACTTAAAGCTAACAGTAAACGCTAAAACTTAGCATAGAAGTAGCACCGTCAGAGATACAGTAAATCAGTGAACTGACCCAGAAATATAAATTACACATCAATTTTTTGTAAATTTGCTGACATTAGCTAACATTGTTAGCTATACTATAGCCATTAGCTAACATTGTCATAAGACACTGGTCAAACCAGAAGTTCATGAAGCTCAAAATCATGAATTCGACTTTTTATTCAGCGTGAATGAATGTGCAACATCTTTCAAAAGTTAAACATCCTCACTCTTATCACTTTGTTGT